GGGGGGCTTATTTTCGGAGGAGCTTATTTCGGGGGGGGGGGTGTTTATAGTAGGAGGTTTACGGTACGCATTTTACATGCAACTGTTTTCCAATAGACTCAGTGGGAAGGTTCCCTTACATTATTAATATGCTCATCTTTACATCACATCTAGCTTCTATTCTTAATACATGATCTCATGTTACTGTAAATACTTAATACTAAACTAAAATATCACACAAATTAAAAGAATAATCATTATAATGATCACGGATTCATCAGAATAAAAAAGAATTGTTCCTGGACCCAAATGTTTCAAAGAAAAACAATTTTCCGCGTGATATCCACAAATGTATAGATGTTCCTAAAACTAGATATTAGCAATAAAAGTTTAAGTTATATCCCATATACAATATTTAGTTGTATCTCAACTTGCTGGTGGCAAAAGACATTTAGTTTTTCCACATTTTATTTCAAAACAATCCACCAGCTCCAACGATAACTTGCATGGGCGAAGCTCGCAAAGCTTTATCGACGATAGTTTTTGATGAATACTTCGGCGGCGTTTTGTTGCTTCGTTCTTTAGCAAGCTCGTAAACTTGAGTAAAAAATGATCCCAATGCTAACACCACACCTCCAGTGAAAACAGTTGTACCAAAAGCACTCATTGGATGAAAGATAAACTTAAACTGTATCCTTATTTATACTGGATAAACCGTTTAACACAGTAACTCTTCAAGTATAACACTTTCATAACCGCGTCAAAGCGTCATGCTACGTCAAAACGTTTTTTACATGCTCAATAAGTTTAATCATTATTTATTTATTGGTCATCGCAGGTATATTCTTCATAGTAATCATGATTTTTTGCTGATCTAATCTTTGTAATATGGCTCTATAGAAATGTTTTTAAATCTTCTGTTGATAATGATGAACACTCCATTCCCCAAACATAATGTTCTAACTTAAACGCAGTTATATAAAATAACTTTTTGTACAATATATAATGTATAATATCCATTTGCAATAACCTGCAGTTGTAACTGGTCGCAATATATCAGACATGCATGCCACAGCTGTTTACATAAATTACAGCGAACAGAAAACACCAGGCGAGGACACATCTACGACAACAACAACGTGAGTGAGTTGTGTGCTTGATTTACACAGACAACTCAAGTTGCAAGCAGGTTGCATGCGACAGTTTTAGGCAAAGGTTGCATGTAGTGTATAAAATCGGCCTTTATACAACACTGTCGTGAATGCTGTATATCTTGTGCTTTGTATTAATGAAAACGTTCATACTCTTCAATAATCTTAAAGGCATTAGGGACTGGTCATAATTTATCAGGGGGGGGTGGGGTGGGGAGGTGTAATTCAAAATTTTAAGGAATGATATTTTGTCACCCTGCTTTGCCATAACCCAGAAAAATAATGCCCCCCCCCTTCTCTCTTGCTCGTGTCAGTAAAAATGTACCTACCTACTACTAAACCCTGCATTCAATAAATTTTCTAATTAAATTTATATTATACCAATACATAGTCATATATAAAACTTTAGTTTTTTCAAACTTTTCATTCTAAGTTTAAAGAACCAATTTTTTTTTCACCGCAACTCAAACAAAATGTGAGAAAGCATGTATAAAACAATTAATTGAACTAAAACAGCAGACCCCCTCCCCACCTTCATAAACTGACTAATATTTTATGAACCCCCCTTTTTCCTAGCTAAAAAATATGTGACCCCCCCACTGTTTCCACCTCCCCACCCCTCCGGCTAAATTATGACCAGTCTCTTAATGATATTAAATGAGAAAACAGTGATTGTGATCATGATTTTCTTGCTGTTCCCTTCATTAATTATCAAGAATTCAATTTTCTTTCCTTTTAAAGTAAAATGGTTTCCAATACTCGGCAGTCGTATTTAACATCTTTTATTAATAATAATCTTATATACATTAATTTAAAAAAGAGTTCAAAATTTTTAAGAAATATTACTTTAAAATAAGCGCAATTTAACGCAAAATTGCACGATTAAAATATTACATTAAACTCTAAAAAGTATACAACCCTTGTCCCGAGGGGTAATAAATATAATTAATAAATAAATTAGACCTATAAATTATCTTTAAATAGCATTTCTCTGTTAAATTCTATATGTTAATATTATACTTCTAGTAGCGATAAAACGAAAGTTTGGATCTGATAGGGATAAAGTAAAAAGACTGAATTGGAAATTAAATGGCTGAAACTCAGTTCCACGTAGATAACAAAGCCTCGGCGAATCAACGCGCTGGAATATCACACGTGACCCACTATTTGCTACCCAGTCTTTCTACTATCCATGATGGAGTTCACGAAACGTCGATGCATCTGTCTGTACAAGCGAGTGTTCAACCACATCTGGCTCTGAAATGTATAACATACCACTATGGTGTTCGACAAGGGACCATACCTCAACCAAAAACCATTTTCTAATCCTTTCTGGCTTCATTTACGTTAAGAAAACCTCGTTTTTTTTATCTATTCCACAGAAGACAAGGTGGATAGCAGCATGTTTGAGTTTGACCCATATAAATCTTCCCTCATATTTATTCTGCAGAGCTAATCCACCGGTTTCGTTAGAGCATGATTTGATTTCCATTAACTTGTCATTTTCTTCATGAGTTTCTTCAAAATCTTTTAATTTGTGCACATTTCAATAAATTTCTGTATTTCTATATTCCTATATTGTTAGTGACGATTAATTTGTTAATATTTCTTAATAAGGTGTTCTGTCTTTGAGACTAATATCACCTCAACCAATCAAATTGGCCAAGGATTTAACCAATCAAAGCCGACCATGAAAACATCGAACCAATCAGAGCTGCCCATTTAAGGTTTAACCAATCACAGCTCGGCAAACGGTAGAGCTTCCTCCTGGCCAATTAAAAATTCAGTGTTTCCGCTTGGCCAGATGAAATTTTAATTCAATGATTCAATTTTCAATTTTGTTAAGATTTCCTAACACCAGTCATCACCATCATCGACTTCTTGCAATCCATATATAGCATACGGGGACTTGCCACTCCTTATTGCCATGGCAATATGTTGGTTCATATTGGGGTGGTAACCATTCTCTGACACACCGCTGTCACCTGCACTGCTGGCGCGTGGCACAGGTGAACTACTGAGGGATGTACGCGAATGCTAAATGTTTCAAAGATAAACATTTTGTTAACAACATAGATACACGCACGAATGAACCAGTTAAAAGCAACTCAAGTCTCACTTTTCACTAACAGGGGTGGAAAAAATAGGCGAACACTGCTCGCAGGAAATGTTAAACAGCTGCAGGAAATTCGTTTGAATAAGATTTGCTATTGAAAATTTGAAGGAAACCTTAACACCCATGTCCCACTATGGGTGCAACAACATATGGTTGACAGACATTATTCCTTGAATTTAAAACCATGGTCAGCTAGAACACTATATGTTTATGCACATGCAGATTTAGCACAAAAATACTCTGTTGGTCTGCAGGAAATTTTTGTCTCCAGGTTGTGTTCCCAGGAAGAAAATTATATTTTCCCGCCCTGTTCACCAAGTACCTATTATATAAGAAGTCTGACATAGAAAATAATGGTTCTTGTATGCGGGTTTTTATTGAAAAGGATGATCCTTACTGGACCTCTTAGGAAAAGAGTTTAGAAGAGACGCTTACACTCGCAATTTTTGCACATTCCTCAGAAGAAATCGCAGCAAAATTTGCAAGTGTAAACGGGCTTGTATACTTACCCATTCTCGTACCCAGAGCCCTTCTTACGCGCGTTCGACCGAGCGCGACGAGGGGCTCTGGCCAAACCATAACCGGATACCATAAAAACATGGTAAGAAAACCATATCCGGTGTTAGAACTAGCCGATCAGATGCCAGTTCGGATATGGATTTGGCCAGAGCCCCTCGTCGCGCTCGGTCGAACGCGCGTAAGAAGGGCTCTGGGTACGAGAATGTATACTTACCCTGCTTTGAGATAATAATGACGGTGGTAATGATCTATGACTTGTAGTGTCTGTAGGGGTAACTGAGGGACGCAGAGATCTCATAGGGATATCCTACATGAAAATTTGTAATAAATGATGAATCTTTGAATTAACAATTTAAATCAGATACGGGTGTTCAGCAAAAGCAACCGTCGGTATCATACATTTTATCGATACATTTTGATATCTTATATACACTAGATAGTGCATCTAATTAATCTGCAATTCAAAAATTGAAGCCGTGATTGCAGACTCAGGATATTCCCATGAAATGAGAAGACTCGTATGTTTTCTATTTCTTAAACAGGGAACTTAAACATCAAGTTAAACCTATTCCAAATACATTTTCAAACTATTCAAATGATGAGGGTTATTGTTGTTTTTTAAGCGTTTATTAGCGAGTGGGAACTATCAACATGGAACAACATGGCCGCCATCTATTCAAATGGGAGTAACCGCTGGAATATTCTTGGCTTCAATTTTACTAAAAGATATGCGCTATCTAGTGTATATAAGATATCTATGATGCCTGGACGTCGTGAAACCTCTGTGATACTAACCTCGTTACGTTCCATATCTTGACTACCGTGTACATTTCTATAGCCATTTCCACCAACAAACCGACCCAGTATATTCCCTCCATCCTACAAATGCAGTTTTAACATGTAGTTAGCTTTGGACAGATCAATAAGGCCGTAGCTTCTGGACTATGGGCTACGGAAAAAGAAAATGATATGCGAGACTAGTCTAAGAATAAAATGTCTTCATCTCACCTGAGTATCTCCCTTCCTTTTTAGGAATTTATAATTTTCATAAATTAATTTTGCGCAATATATTTTTCCTACAGTCATCTGTTGCGTACCAGCTGCAAAACAAAACGAAGTTCAAGTAATTATTCTTGAAAAGAGCTTCCAATTGGCCTCAACAATCTCCTGAACCTATTTTTTATTTGTATTATTGGTGAATACATTTTTTACTTTTATAGTAATTGTACATTAAAAACAAACACTGACCGATTTCAAAACTTTATAACTGTAAAATGTAACTATTGATGTATTATAGATTGAGGTAATTTTCTTCCATTTTAACCGTGTAATTCAGGTTCTATATTGATAACTATATAATTATATGCAAATCTCCTGAACCTACCATCTCTCGGTGGCTTTGGCATGATTTTGTCTAAAGTATTCTTCGTTAATTTCGGCCAAACTCTTTTTAGTAAGGCTTGCATTTCCTTGTCATTCTTCTTTAGATTATCTGGAAGAAATATTCGTTTGTCAATCATTTGAAAAGTATTCCTATGTTTCAAACACTTCCTGGGCTGGTACAAACAGAACAAATCACTTAATGCCACACAAAATCAAATTGCAAGATCATGGCAAGTTATTTCTACTTACTGTTATCAGTCAGAACCCCAAGGGCTGTTCTGACGAGAGCAAACAACGTCGCTGTAAACTCTACTGTCCCATCCGCATCTAGCGGCATATTCATCTTTATAAGACGCTGTTCAAATACACAATTGTATAAAATTACTTCAATGCTATTTACATTCATAGAGAATAGTAAGGATTGTAAAGTATTTATGCCCACTATAGAGGTTCCAATAAATATAATATGATGCATGTCTGATTAGAATTACGCCGCTGCTTTCACTCAACCACCCACCCAAGCTTTTCTACTGTTTCCTTCTGTAGTAACACCGTTCTAACGAGCGATGATCCTTACTGGACCTCTGGGGAAAACAGTTTG